ACGATCAAAGAGGAGGCCCAGAAACTTGACTGTATCACGTTCAGGGATACGGAGCCATAGAGGTACAAAGGATGATGGGAGATGACAGAGCGTCTAGTGAAAGTAATTTGGTGGGTTTTAGTGCTGAAAAATTTAAACCCACGTGTGGTGGCCCAATTGGAAACACGGTCGACTGCATGCTGGAGAGAAACTGTAATAAGGTGACAGTCAGCGCCTGCACAGGCAATAGCGAAGTCATCAACATAGAGTGATGACCAAATATTTGATGGAAGACTAGAGGCCAAATCATTAATAGCAAGGAGAAAAAGTGTTGTGCTCAGAACACATCCCTGGGGGACACCTTCAGCTTGGATAAAGTCCGGGGAGAGCGCATTATTAACCCGAACACGGAAATGCCTGTCAGTTAAAAAGTTCTTAAGGAAGGATGGTAGATTGCCTCGAAGGCCTAGGGAGTGGGCTTGGGCTAAAATATTATACCTCCAAGTTGTGTCATATGCCTTCTCAAGGTCAAAAAATATGGCAATAACTGAGTGGTTATTCGCAAAGGCATTACGAACATAAGTATCCAAGCGTAGTAAGGGGTCTATGGTAGAACGTCCCTTACGAAAGCCATATTGACGAGTGGAGAGACTGTTGTGTGTCTCTAAATACCACACTAAACGTCTATTTACTAGGCGTTCCATCACTTTGCAAACTGCACTGGTAAGAGCAATGGGACGACAGTGGGAGGTTTCATGTCCCGTAGTGCCTGGTTTGCGGAAAGGGAGAACAATGGCGGATTTCCACAGCTGTGGAAGAACTCCTTGTGACCAAATAAGATTGTAAAGGCGTAATAGGACTGCAAGGGCTGACTGACGTAAATGTTGTAGCATACGAATATGAATGTCGTCGGGCCCAGCTGCCGATGATCGGCAAGCTGAGTGTGTTGCCTCCAGTTCTTGAAGTGTAAAAGGCACATTATACTGTTCTTCTCTGAGAGAAGAAAAGTCCAAGGGTGCTAACTCTCTGGCAGACTTTGAGGAAAGAAATGAGGGGCATAGATGGAGTCCCTGAGAAATACGGACCAGATGATTGCCAATTTCATTGGCAACATCTAGTGGGTTTGCTATATCAACACCGGCAACCCGCAGAACAGGAGCCGGGTCAGGAGAATATTTACCACTCAGTTTTTGTACTTTTTTCCAGACTGCACTCATAGAGGAAGCAGAGGTGATGGTGGAGACAATCTCGCCAGCAAGTGCGTTTAGCGTCACGGATGACATGGCGAGCGATCGCTTGCTTCTGCTTAAATTCAAGAAGTCTCTCTGTGGTTCTATTGTACCGGTACCTGCCCCATGCAGCGCATTTCAAACGTACTGCACGAGCACAAGCAGGAGACCACCAAGGCACGCATTTCTGAGAATGCCTGCCCGAAGTTTGGGGTATAGAATGAGAAGCTGCGGTTAAAACGGAGGACGAGAAGAGGTGTAAAAGCTCATCGATGGAGGACGAAGAAGGAACCTCTAAAACAGTTAGGTGTGAGTAAAGGTTCCAATTTGCCTGATCAAATTGCCAGCGTGGGATGCGAACTGAATGCCACGGGAATCACAGTGAGACCCCCCCCCAGAGGAAATGGTGGGCATTAAAATCACCAAGTAATAGAATCGGTGGTGGTAATGACAAAACAAGAAAGGCAATATCCGGAATAGATAATGCCCGAGAAGGAGAGAGATATAAAGAACAGAGCGTATACCACCTATGCAAGTGGATACGGGCTGCTGTGTAATGCAGCGAAGTACGAACAAATAGCTGATGGTATGGAATATCAGTGCGTAGAAGAAGGGCACTTTCATTAAAGGTCCCATCAGGAAAAGGATCTGAAGAATACAATAAATTATAGCCTGAGATGGGAGAGATAACAGCAGAGTAATTTTGGTTCCTGTAAGCAAACACCAACATGGGAAAACTGGGAGAGTAACATCTGAAGCTCACCTCGATTACCCCTGAGGCCGCGTATATTCCACTGTAAATAGGCCATGATTGGTAATGATAAAGATACCTGAAATCCGCAGGTAAGGGTTCCTACGGACTAGAGGGGTTAGAAAAGTCCACATGCGGAGGCAGTGGAAAACGTTCAAGCAACGAAGGAATGGTGCGCTGTGAAGAAAGGAGTTGCGCAGATGGAGTAGAGGAGAGAGAAGGAGCGGAGCGTGGATCAGTGTCCATTGATGGTTTGGTCTCTGCAATATATTCAGAGATTGCTTCAAGCGTTTCAGAATTCAGAGACGTCATATGGGAGACAATATTGGAAATGCTAGGGGGAGGATGAGTAAAGATTGGAACTGTAATGGACTGTACCAAGGTAGAGGGGGACGGAAGGGTGGAGGGAACTGGAGAAGCGTGGAAGGGGACAGAAGAGGCAGAAACCTGGGAGGTGGCCGAAGAGGAAGAAACTTGGGAGGGAACAGGGGAGGAAGGTATAGTACGAGGAGGGTGAACCTCTACACTTTTAACAGAGCCAGTGAGAGGGGGAGAACCAGGTACAGAGACAGGGAAAGGAAAATGAGGAGGTGGAAGATGGGTAGGAGGTGTTAACGGACCTTTTTTTGACTTTTGAGAAGTAGAGGGACGATTGGGAGGAGGTGTCACACGAGATCTCGTCGCTACTGAGGCTTGTGAGAGAGAACACGAAGAAGCAAGATCAGACAGACGTTGAAGTAAGGACGTCTGAGCCGAGGACAGCAAAAGAATTAGCTACAGGAGTGACTATGGGAGAGGTAACCACAGAGGTGGGTGCAGAAGATGGGATACCAGAAGTGGGGGGACGTTTTAAAACCCACGGGAATAAGAAACACGAGGTAGTCTCCCTTGGAGGCGGAGATGAGAAACTGCCATGGCATAAGGGAGACCTTCTGCCTCTTTGAGGTAAGGTTTTCCCCGCTCGTTTAAGTAGACTTGACAACAGCGAGAGTACGAAGGGTGAGCCTCATGACAATTAAGGCAAGAGGGAGGTCGATTGCAAGACGTATTAGAATGGTCATCGGCACCACAGACTGGGCATTCGGCGATAGATCTGCAATATTTCTCTGGATGGCCAAATCGCCAGCAATTTCTACACTGTTGCGGTGTAGGGATCACCTTTCGAACCTGTAACCGATGTCCTGCTACATAAACTGAGGATGGGAGTTCACGGCTGTCAAAAGTTAAACGAGCCACATTGCTAGGGTATCGTCTCCGCCCGCGGGCAGTAAGAACATAAGTGTCTACCTTGAGGATTGGGAGATCTTGGAGTTCCAGCTGTTCAAGAACGTCAGTGCCACATGTCTGGAAATTTTGTTTTAACTATGGTATGGGGGAGAATGATGGTAAACCACTACAAGAATTGAGGGAATGATGCTTTTCAATAGTTACAGGAACAGTATCGATATGGGAAAGACGAGAAAGCTCATGAGCCTGAGTAGCATTCTGTACGGTGACGATGCGCGTACCGCTCTTAAGAGCATGAAAAGAAATATCTTTACCAACATGGCGTAGGAGTGCCTTGCCAATACTGTGGTCAGAAAGATAGGCAGTAGAGGAAGTCGGTCGTAAAGTGAAGAATTTAGTCCACTGTGCAGTCTGAAACTGAGCGTGGAAAGGTAGTGAAGGACGTGTCGATCTTTTCTGAGAAGAACGAGAAGGTGGAGAAGTATCATCAGCAGGTAATTGTCGTTGTCGTTTAGGCGTGGGACCAGAGTTGGTCCGACGTGGAACGGGCCGGTGATTCATGGACTAGGGCTGCCATGGTTAGGTTACTTCTTTCTTTTTGTTTTTAAGAAAAAAAAAAGAAAGAAAATAAAATAAAAATAAAAAAAAGAATAAAAAAAGGGGGGACTGAGGAGGGATAGTTCCTAGGAGGAATGAAAGGGCCAGAACTCTCCCTCCGCGCCCAAGAGGACCTCAGCACCGCAAGTAGTGCAGATGCAGCATGGAACCCGTGCCATACCCTACCCATCATGCCAGTAAACCGGCAATCCGGGATAGCAACCTCACATCTGCCGAGCTACCTCGGTGGACAAAAGAGAGGGCGGCCGGAAATCCGCCACAAAGCATACCTCCTTCGGCCACCACCCCCGGAATCCGAAAGGTGGCTTCCACAGATAACACCCGTCGCCCGAGGAGACACCCAAAGCCACCCTCCGGGATACCGGAGAGGGATCAGGACATCCCCAGGCAATCCAGATTCCACGGCAAACTACGCCACCGCCAAGAACCTCAACGGAATGGGATGGACCCCGGTACCCTTTCCCCTACCTAGGAACTAGCGTGCCTGTGGGGAAAAAAAAAAAAAAAAAAAGGAAGGGCAAAGGGGAGGGTGGGGGGGAGGGGGAGGAGGAGGAGGAGGAGGAGGAGGAGGAGGAGGAGGAGGAGGAGGAGGAGGAGGAGGAGGAGGAGAAAAGGAAAAAGGGGAGGATGGGATAGGGAATGGGGGATTGGGGGGTAATTAGGTTCGGTCTGAGGAAGTAGACCGACAGGTCTAATTCCTCAGACCAAGAGCCTCTTCACCACGCCAAGGAGCCCCCCTTGAAGAGGAACTACTTTCATTACGTGCTGTATCATACCTTCTATACTTATTTATCCTCTTATTCATAAAATGTGTATTACTTATTACCAAACCTCTTTCTATGCTTAGCTCAATTAAAGACTCCCCATTTTCTTTTACCCCTGGCACCCCAAATTTACCTACTACTCCCTACTACTTACACACGTTAGCACTGAAATCCCCAACCCTAGGTACTCTTATACGGGTGTGAAACAAATTGTGAATATTACAGCAAGGAGGCGGCTAGAGGCAGTGGAGATGTCCGAGTTCAATGTGTGGTGTAAATGTTATAAGAAAAGAATTTGTGGCTTGGAGATTATGAGGTGCTGGGTTACTAAAAGTATTAACCAGAGGGCTGGAAATGGGAAGTACAATGCCTGCACTTTAAAGGATGGGTCTGGGATATTGATACTTTGGAGGGATTTCTAAACTGTCGTACCTGAGTCCCTCTGCAAAGACATTGATTATGTATGAGTGAGGTGAAAGTGTTGAATGATGATGAAAGTATTTTCTTTTTGGGTCACCCTGCCTCAGTGGGAGATGGCAGACTCCTTTCTTCTTTCATCACACCAGCCGTATCCCACCGAGGAGGGGGGGCCAAAAAGGAAAAATGAAAGTTTCTCCTTTTACATTTAGTAATATATACAGGAGAAGAGGTTACTTGCCCCTTGCTCCCGGCATTTTAGTCGCCTTTACAACACGCATGGCTTATGGAGGAAGAATTCTGTTCCACTTCCCCATGGAGATAAGAGGAAATAAACAAGAACAAGAACTAGAAAGAAAATAGAAGAAAACCCAGAGGGGTGTGTATATATATGTTTGTACATGTATGTGTAGTGTGACCTAAGTGTAAGTAGAAGTAGCAAGACGTACCTGAAATCTTGCATGTGTATGAGACAGAATAAAAAGACACCAGCAATCCTACCATCATGTAAAACAATTACAGGCTTCCGTTTTACACTCACTTGGCAGGATGGTAGTACCTCCCTGGGGCGGTTGCTGTCTACCAACCTACTAAACCCAGATGGCAGATTTGTCGAATTAAAAGGAAAAAAAAAAAAGTCTAGGTAGTAGGTTGGTAGACAGCAACCGCCCAAATAAGTGTAAAATGGAAGCCTGTACTCGTTTTACATGATGGTAGGATTGCTGGTGTCTTTTCTCTGTCTCAAACATGCAAGATTACAGGTACGTCTTGCTACTTCTACTTACACTTAGGTCACACTACACATACATGTACAAGCATATATATACACACACACCACTCTGAGTTTTCTTCTATTTTCTTACTAGTTCTTGTTCTTGTTTATTTCCTCTTATCTCCATGGGTAAGTGGAACAGAATTCTTTCTTTCCCTAAGCCACGTGCATTGTAAGAGGCAACAAAATTGCCAGGAGCAAGGGGCTAGTAAACTCTTCTCCTGTACAAATTACTAAATTTAAAAAGAGAAAGTTTTGCTTTTCTTTTTGGGCCACCCTGCCTCGGTGGGATATGGCTGGTTTGTTGAAAGAAGAACATAATGACTTCAAGGGTGGATAAATCTGAAGTGGAGGGAAGGTGAGGTAAGGGTTGCCATTAGAAAGGTTGGAGGAAGGAGGTAAAGGAGGCTTTGTGAGCAAGCGGATTGGACATGTAGAAGGTGTGGGTAATTGTGTTAGATAAGAGTGGGACTTGAGCTGTTGGAGTGTAAGCAAGGTAACATCTTGTGAAGGGATTCAGCTCACCTCTGGCAAGACAGTGATAAGAGGGAACAATAGTGTTTCTTTTCTTTGGGTCACCCCATCTTGGTGGGAGATGGCGAATGTTAAGAAATTAACACTTTACAATTTATTCTCATTTATGAAGCAATTTCTGTTCTAAAAAAAAAAAAGCATTTACTCTTGTCAATTATTTCTGTATACTATTTAAGAATTTATAGTGGTTTACACAAGTCATAAATACAGTGGTCCCTGGAGTTATGATGGGTTGGAGTTATTATTTACCCCCAAAGAGCAAAGTGTGTTGTAAATATCATGCAGAGAATTCAGAGAACAGTGGGGTAACCCATGGTATCAGTTAGAGCTGAAGAGGAGATGTTGAGGTGGTTTGGGTACGTAAAGAGGATGGAGAGGGACAGGACAAAGTGTACAAATTTGATTAAATGAGGCTTTGCATTATAAGGGCTTGAACATCTAGCAGGCTTTTGTGAACATGTTAGATAGGAATGAATAGAGATAAGTGGTTTTAAATTTATGTACTGTTGGAGTGCAAGTAACATTTACGAAAAAAAAAAAATTGAATCTTTTATGAAAAGATTCAGGGCAATAGGTTAGCCGGACTTAAGTTCTGTATGTGGGAAGGGCAGTGCCTGCACTCTGAAGGAGGGGTGGGAATGTTGCAGCTGGGAGGGTAATCTTAACTGAGTTGTGAGCACTTTTAGCAAGACAAAGACAGATAGGAAGAGAGATGTTGAGTTCTTTTTCTTCCTCTGGGTTGGAAATGACTGCTGCTGCTGCTGCTAAGAAGTAATCTCCAGTTACTATTAGGTATACGGTAAATATCTTTCCATGATAATATGGATGGGGTTGTCAGAACTGTTCTTTTATTTCATAATTAATGTTCATGGAAATAAAAGTTTATTGGTCAGATTTTTATAGGTCACCTCTAAAGATAAATTTTCCACAATATTGATTTTTAATTGTTAAATTATCGATTACTGTAAAATGATGTGCCAAAATCAGATTTGCCTCTCTTTAACCACAAGAAGGATAATTTACCTTTATGTAATTATTTGTTAATTTGTGTTATTCCCGCAAGCATTTTTCGGAACTCAACACAAGTTGTTGGGGTTAAGCAAAAACCTAACTTACTGGAAAAAAAAACTAGTTGAAGTGCTCATGATGTGATGAAAACCATCGCACCAAGCATCCCTCTGAGCCCTCACTGGCACTTCTACACAAAACAAGTTCATAATGACATTACTGAATTTCTATTGTTGTTGTTTAAAGCATATAGTTGACAAAAAAAAAATCTTCATGTTAGTTATGACAGGATTATTTTATTTGCAACTAGGCACAAATAGATTTACAAAGGTAAATTTATATTAAATGGAGGTATTCCTGTATCCTACCACTATTTCAGAATATATATATAACTGATGTTACAATAAAATATGAAATTGCCATTATGAAATATAAAGCTTCCTAGCAGTATATTGTATTATAAATAACACCCTCAGGAAAAAATTATGTAATACATAGGTGTATATCAAAGCTACTGAGGTCAGTTAGGCTACAACCATAAATATTTTCCCTAAATGATGAATAACACAAAAAGATCTAATAAACTTTAAATAACTCCATTAAATAAAATGATTATGGACAGCATCTAAGCATTTTTTACAAATTATAACAGCACATTTATAAATTATGTGAACTTTTATGCACACACACCTAAACAGTATAGTATTTACACATTTTTTACAATGAACATGACAACCAAAAAGGCAATAATACCTGTACTCAGTATATATACTATGCACCATATTAAAAAATTTCTTGATGGCTACTCACCTGTACATAATGTAACCAATAAGTAGAACTAACTGGATCACCGTAAAAGCAATGAACAAGCCTGTAGATACGCAGCTGACAGAAGGACAGCCAACACCACCAGGTGCTGAAGACAACCTTTGATTCGCTGTACCAAGGTCACGCTAACAAGAAAAAATTAAATAGTAAATCCAAATTAAATTCACTAAATTGATAAATAAACTAAAATCATTCACTTGGAATTTGCTAAATGACACATGCGGATACACAGCATCAATAAGTATCTACCTCTTTTAGAAAAAAATCTAAGAATTATATTTCCCGAAGTCCAATGAGATTAATTACCTTTTTTGACAGTACTAACTAAACATTTTCTAAACAGATTTAGAAATAAAAATGGAGGGTAAATGATGTTAGGATAAATAATGACTATTAATGAAAGGAATCTGTACTGAGTAAACTTGCTTCTATGTACTACAGCATCACACAACCACATCATAATATTTGATGCACCATTAAATCTTATTCTTTAATGTGACTTCAAAACATCATGTAAACTATAAATAGCTTTCATGACTTCACAAATGGTAATGCTAATACATTTAAATCACTAAGCCACCAACACTCATAATGATTGAATTATCTGTTGCAACATTAAGAGAAATAGTGACTACAAACATGAGAGCAAAGATCCATTAGTCACTTATATTTACAGCATATCATTTCTTACCTTAACAATATTAAGCCCTTCTTTCATTTCATTAAGGGTAACGTGTAAGTCGTAGCCAACTGGCTGCACCGAGCCCTGTGGCTTCTGACTGTTGGTCAGAAGCTGACTGCTCTTCTGGTGGATTTCATTTACAAAATTCCTGCCACAAATAATGTAACAATAAGTATTATATATACCAGCCCAACAGCTCAAAGTTAAATACTGACAAATGCTTAATATCAGTACTGGCATATAACACTAATATACATACTGTATTTTTATTTTAAGTACATTTACTTCTCATATGGCCTTAAACAAAAGATAACTGACATTACAGAAATAGCTTTTTCACTCTACTATATGGTATAAACCTTTGTAATTGATACTGACAAATTGGCTGAAAAAGACACACAAGCAAATGCCCTAGGATATTATTAGAAAATGTTTTGGTCCTGGGACCTTGATCACTTCTAACACACAAAATTTGAAACTATATATATATATATTATAGGTAGTAGGTTGGTAGACAGCAACCACCCAGGGAGGTACTACCGTCCTGCCAAGTGAGTGTAAAACGAAAGCCTGTAATTGTTTTACATGATGGTAGGATTGCTGATGTCTTTTGTCTGTCTCATAAATATGCAAGATTACAGGTACGTCTTGCTACTTCTACTTACACTTAGGTCACACTACACATACATGTACAAGCATATATATACACACCCCTCTGGGTTTTCTTCTATTTTCTTTCTAATTCTTGTTCTTGTTTATTTCCTCTTATCTCCATGGGGAAGTGGAACAGAATTCTTCCTCTGTAAGCCATGCTTGTCGTAGGAGGCGACTAAAATGCCGGGAGCAAGGGGCTAGTAACCCCTTCTCCTGTATATATTACTAAATTTAAAAGGAGAAACTTCAGTTTTTTCTTTTGGGCCACCCCACCTCAGTGGGATACGGCTGGTACGTTGAAAGAAGAAGAAGATATATATATATAGGCTGGAAGTGATGTGTGTCAAATAGTGACCTGAAAAATGAAACTGAGGCTTATTGAAGATAGGGGCAGGTAGACAACGAGGTCACGAGATTCCTGTATTGTGAGGTAGGTTGGACTTTGCCAGGTTTTATGTCAATAGTGATCAAGGTCCAAGACTAAAATATTTTCTAATAAATGTGCTAGTGTTTGCTCATGTCTTTAAACCTAGCCTTTGGAGTAAATATAGCCTCTCCTCACTTAACGAAGGAGTTCCATTCCTAAGACTACGTCAGTAAACGAATCTGTCGCTAAGTGAGGAGCATACTATAATGGTAGTGGGCTTGTGTCAACCATCTTTGATATTGATAAATTAGACACATGTGCAGCTCTTGGGTATCTTTATTGAGGAAATGTTTTGCCACACAGTGGCTTCATCAGTCCATACAAAGGAGAATCTTGAAGAACAGGAGGAGAATGAGGTAATCAGTCCCTCAGCCTTGAGTCTATGTGATCAACGTGTCGGTTTCTGAACCATTGATCTACGTCCCTTTTATAGTGTTTTAATGTCACCTTTCTATTTTTATATTTTCAAATGTTTATACAGTAGTGTACTGTATATTGTAATAAACAAAATAGAGGAAATCAGCTCTATTATACATTATTTAGGTATGCATACTGGTCAGAGAGCCCGTCGTAAGTCCGAGTTGTTGGTAAACGAGTACGTTGCTAAGTGAGGAGAGGCTGTACTCCAATACAGTCTTCTACTGAAACTATTTTTTATGTTAATGCACTGACTCTTCTCTTCAAACTTTTAATACAGTTTTTTTTTTTTTTTTCCAACAAGTCGGCCGTTTCCCACCAAGGCAGGGTGACCCAAAAAAAAAAAAAGAAAATCCCCAAAAAGAAAATACTTTCATCATCATTCAACACTTTCACCACACTCGCACATTATCACTGTTTTTGCAGAGGTGCTCAGAATACAACAGTCCAGAAGCATACACATATAAAGACACACAACATATCCCTCCAAACTGCCAATATCCCAAACCCCTCCTTTAAAGTGCAGGCATTGTACTTCCCATTTCCAGGACTCAAGTCCGACTATATGAAAATAACCGGTTTCCCTGAATCCCTTCACTAAATATTACCCTGCTCACACTCCAACAGATCGTCAGGTATTTTATATAAATCAAGCATTCATAAGTTACATAAATTTGGGAAAACAGTAGGCAAGAATAATGCTGTCTGGTGAACAAGACTTTCAATGAGCAACAACAACAACATAAGCTGGGGCAAGGGCACTACTTGTGCTCTGCAGCTAGGAGGGAGAGGGGACGGGGAAGTTGAAGGTATTGCAGGTGGCCTAGTTTCTGAGAAGATGCTATTTATAACCTAGGGAGCAGATTGTGAAAATAAATTTTGTGACTTAGATTTTCACAGATATGTCAGAGTGGGGAAGAGTAACTAGTAGTGTACAACAAGGATTGGTATTAGGACCAATGCTGTTTCTGGTTAATGTGAATGACATACTAGATAGAGTAGTCAGATTTATCTCTATTCACTGATGTACAACAATTATAGAGAATACAAATAGATGAAGGCAGAGAAAGGCTGAAAAAGGATATGGACAACTGCAGGGTTGGTCACATAAGTGGTTGCTTGAATTCAACCCCAGCAAATGCAAGGTTGTGAAGACTGGGAAAGGGCCAGAAGACTGGACATAGAGTATAGACTTGGGGGGGGTAAGGGCTGCAGACCTTCAAAGAGAAGAAGCTGGGAGTAAGCATAGTGCCTGCCATGTAGCCAGAGGCTCACATCAACCAAATAAACCTCTACAGCCATTGGTCACTAGGCAAATCTGAGTGGCCTTCAAGAATCTCAACAAACTCATTCAGGGTACTTGATACAATATATGTCAGGCCCATCTTGGAGTATGCAGCACCAGTATAGAATCTACACAAGAAGCATGTTAAGTAACTGGAGAATGTGCAGATGTTTGCAACTAGACTAATTCCAAAGTTAAGGGGTATCAGCTATGAGGTAAAGCTAAAGGAACTTAATTTAATCACCCTGAAGGACAGAAGAACCTTGAAAGGAATGATAACATAAAAAATACACATAAGAATTGATGGGTAGACAGGGACAAGCCGTTTGAAAGGCAGGAAGCAGGTACTCAGGGGCAGAGCTGAAAGTTACAGACACTGACCCACGAAATCATAACGACACGATTGCAAACAAATCGTACCACGGGTGGGGTTAGAGTTTTGAGACTCTCTGATCGCGGATTCTAACCCCGCCCATGGTATGGTTTGTTTACAGACACTGATGAGTCACATGAATGTCAAAAGTATTTGTTTAGTCTCAGGGTGGTCGGGAATTGGAATGACCTCAAAGAAGTGGGGGAGGCAGACTCCGTATGTAGTCTTAAGAATACATATGATAGGGTCCATGACTAGGAGAGAGTGAATCTAGCAAGCGGCAAGTTAGGAGGCAGGGTTAGGAGCTAAGACTCAACCCCTGCAACCATATACAGGCAAATCACATTGCATTGACAGACTGACAGACTGTTTACTGTATTTGGGAGTGGATACTGGATATGTCGGATAACATGTCTATGAATGACTAGTGAATCATGGAAATAGATGATGGCAAGGAGGTAGTAGGGGTCTCAAGTTCATGTAAAGAAAATTTTATAAATGGAATGTAACAGTACAGAATAGTGGTACCAGCACTTCTGTGTAGATGTGAGCCATGTCACTAGAAAGTAGCAGTGAGGAAGCTGAATTCGGTGATGTCTTGTTCGAAATTAATGTACTGCAAATGTCATGCAAAGCATAAGAAATTAATAGTTAGAAGACTGTGTTGCTATGAACAGTATAATTCATAGAGCATAAGGTGTTTTTTATATGATTTTGTTATTTACAAAAGATGAAGACAGGCCGCTCAAGAGTGTGTATAAAATTGTGACAAACTGAATATAGTGTAATGGACATCCCAGGAAAGGTTGGGAGGATGTGAAGATGCTCTGAGAAGTAGGAGCCTCCTGTGAGTAAAATTAGTGGAGATTTTTTTTTTTTTAGGGGTGAGGGAGGAGAGAAGAATTTACCATGCTGCTGGTGCAAGCAATGGAACATACATAAAGGAATTCTGGAAAACTGGTTAGCCTGAGTTCTGGTGAGGATAGTTTTGGTGCACTGGAATTACAGCAGGCCTCACTTTACAGAGCTTCACTGAACAAGCATTTCACTAATACGATGGTTTTCAATTATACCCATTCTCCATATTGAAATTTCCTACAATAAATGTATTCATCACTCACTATAAGCTAAGGATGAAAATATTTTAAGGTAAGTAATGTGTGTACTACATGCATTTTTTTAAGCCTAGCTATACTGCTCACTTAATATATGATAGTATCAGGCTTTTATATACATTTGAAAGTGAAAAAAGAATATGATTCACTTCACAGCAATTTAGCTTTACAGCAATAGCCTGGACCCTAACCTGCTGTATAAACAAGGCCCTCCTGTATTTCCATGGCTTTCTGTAAAGACAAATATAGAATGAGTGATGGTGAATGCATTTTTTTCTTTACATCACTGCCTGGGTGAAAAAAACAGCATTATTAAAAAAAACTACATTAACTTGTTTACATAAATACAAGCTACATGTTTTTTTAAGCACTTCATGCTTACTTTATATCCCTTGCTGTTTGCCACAATATCTCTTTGATTGTTGAGAATGCTGTCAACTTCATGTCGACGGATGGTGTCACCTGGTAGGGCAGCAACAGTGCAGGAGGGGAACTTTTGGCCCCGTAGGCACAACTTGACC